AATTTTGCGTCGTGCATATAGTATTAGATCGGTATAGGAATGTTCAGATTAGCCGCAACGAGGGAAAACCAAAAACAACAGTTCGCGGTTGACGACGCCATTCATAGCTCTTTGACCTCTTGTTCATTCACAATTTTCGTGCTCTCATTTATAATCACACGCATACACAATTTTCCTTCCCCTAGACCAATCAGAAGCTCCTCCATTTAATACGGTTTCTCTCACAGACTTTTGAACTTCAGTTCGTTCATTCTTATCGTTTTTACCGTTACAGACGATTGTTTTTATTTTTTGTTTATTTCATTTCTTGACTGCTTCAAGTATCCGTTTGGTCGTCTCCTTCGCAGTTTACGTTTCATAGGATTCATTTTCGTCACTCTTCCAATATGAGATTGCCTTTTTCCGAACTCCATCAACTTATTCCACTGTTTCGCTTATGAGCGTTCTATTTTATTAAATATACTGGGATATTTATAGCCTGTCTACTCACCTATGATGGGTACCGTCATATTTTATGCTATCCAAAGCCGTTGGCTGGAAATTTTACTCAACAGCAAAACACCAAACATTCCGATCAGACAACTAGGAGTGGCTGAGCGTCATCCTCCCTCGTGAAAGCGAAATAATGTATGGTTGCGCATCAACACTGTTCTTCCACGCACTGTTTGCTTCACCAAACAGCATGTGCCTTGGAAGCATAGCTGACCACGTGCATAGCTCACACAACAACCCTCCTATTCCAAGGGGATCCAACATATGTTCCAGTGCTCGATCGCGACTACCTAATACTCTTATTCTAACTTCAGCACTGCTTATCCGGCTACCCCACCGCACTCAAGCAATATGACGTAGGTAGCCTGCTTTTGTCCTTCTCTCACTAAGGTTAAACATCTGAAATACAGGAAAATCAATGAAACGGTTGCACCCTACCTTCGACGCTTCACAGACAAGTGAACGTTGCGACCGTGCGATAAATGTTTCAAGTTGGCAAACGCTAATCCGGCTTTCCGTACGCATGACCACACTTCCGTGACCAGTCTATCCCAACTTCTGTTTTATTATTTTTTTATTACACACCTAAGTGTGATGAACAGCAAACGCGGCGAACCCCATAGTCACAAGGACCTGTTCAGTGCTGGAAACCGGTAACCTAAGCCCCGCTAGGTTAGGCGTGGGATTGAACCGGACGACAGCAAAGCTGCCTACCACTAAAGTCGGGTGGCGGTGGCGGGGCTTGAACCTCGGACTATAGAGTCCAAAGCACGTTTGTGACAGCGACTAAACCACTGTGCCACCACCACCCCAGACTTAGACTGTTCTCCTCTCGGTTCGTGGAAATCGTATCATTATATATTTAATAAGAGGAAGTAAATCCAAGATTGAAGGTAATTTATTCATTACTGTTTAATTGGGGTGAGGCTGAGAGCTGAGCCAACCAAGTTCTGCAACAACGTCTTTCACATTTGAGCTACAGACATATCTACCTCAACACTCAAACCCTTCAGAAAAGCTGGATCTTCACTCGATGGTGCAAGGTTATCTGTTTACTGTAAATCTGGCTCTGAGCACATCAATACCGCTATCCTAGCATGAGAACGGCCATATTATTTTATATATGGTACGAAGTGGAGCACAAAATACAGTAATCCTAACGAAAACCGCCTTCCATTATGAACTGCGGTGAAAAGAGGTTATCTCATACTAGGCTACGGCTGGCAGTTTAAAATGATCGGCAAACTGTTCCAAGAGAGGTATCGCCAGAGTACCGTGCGATCAACTGAGTCGACGGTGGGTTTTAGATTAATTGAATACTTCGTAATTTTTGTGCATGAAACAAACTTCAGCGACATTCTTCACTTTGCATTTCATTTGAAACTGTATATTTTATTTCTTGTGACGATCAGTGTACATTTTTAACTGAAATTTAAGTATGTAAGCTTACACAAGTTACGTAATACAAGTACAAATATAGAAATTGTGGATTCATTCAATACATTTCTGTGATCCGGAATTGGACAGCGCAAAAATAAGGTCGGTGCGGTCTACAACCAGTAAGAGAATCAAGCGAGCGCCGTTTGTATGCGGCAAACAATTGGTACGGTCTAGTGCGGGAGACGCGCTTTGAGAATATGTTGATCAAGCTGACTCCTCCCTGTGTTTCCACAGGTGGGTCTATCATCTTTCTGGTAGATTGATAGGATTACCCCTTGCCAAACCTTATCTGAAAATTGTTCAGCCAACTCAGTACTTTCGTTAATTTCAAGCCTGAAACTAGGCCCCCATTTATAAAAGTCGGTAGTGACAACCCTTCCGAAAGCCTCAGTGTGGTCGGGGTGTGTCTTAGGTTGTGACTGGTCACTCTTTCCTCACACCTAGCAAAATACTGCTGTATGATCCGTTTAAGAGGCCTTATAGCTTTCGAAGTAGCTTTTTTCATAAGTAAGCTCCGTTTCAAGAGTAGAAAAAATATCAACTAATAGACGTCAAACACTTGTTTACGGGATTTGCACACTCCCATATTTCGCATCCGTAGTTTCAGTTCTGCACTCGTTCAACGGGGCAGCAGGGACCTGGAAGCTCTAACATTTGTGCTATGAACGTGTACCAGAAGATTAGATAATGTTGATCGAATTTTTCGACGGATGATTCCATTGAAAGACAATGGAATGGCTCCTGTTTTTAAAGCCTGTTTTCAACTGTCACTTACCTATTGCTGTGGATATATGTTTCCGATATCTATGTTGCACTTGTTTACCAGTTGTACCTAGGATGTGACTGGGTGTGTTTTACGCTGCGTGATAATTGAAATTGGGTCTTCTGTGCGTGTTCCTGAGATACAGTCCACTTCTGTTTTGTAGGTTTCCGCTTGTTGGTCAGTCTCATTGGGTGTGCGGATACAGAATATATTATATTTTCACGGTGTGCAAAACAAATCAGATCTTTATGAAAAAGCAAAACGTTCCATAACTAGTTTGTGGGGGGAATACTGTCAGGTTGTCCAGGCCAAGGCAGGCAAATCTTCTTGAGGAATTCACAACCGGTTGGTCGAATCCTTACCCGCGACGTAGTGGGGCGGTGTGCAAAACCGCAATCCATTGGGGGCTGGCGTCCAGTTCGTTGGATCATACACCATTTGGACGGGTCAAACGTCCAAGGTACCCAATACACCTCGATGCTCAATCACGCCGGTGACCGCTACCACAACCAGAAAGTTGTGTGTGGTTTGTACGCCTCATAGTTTGGAATCAGGGTTTTTAGCTAACTCCCCTAAGTGAGCTACTAGTGGGGCACCAACCCGGTTATAGCCCCGGATATCGGCTATTAGTGCTCTCACTTTGGTGGGAAAACACCTCTGCCCCACGAGAAGGCAGTGATTAGGGCTTCCTCAGCAGCGGCTATTTGAGACGCTTGGTCGTATGGGAGCATTTCGTGAGGTTCAGGGGAAGAGTGACCAGTGGCAACCCTAGAAACCCACCCCCGACCATATTGAGGCTTTTGGAGGCGCGAATGCAAAATACGGTTAAATAAAAGGAGTGCCTCGGTTTGACTTATCCGTTGTCTTGTACTTATCTTACTGGTCAGAGTCTGAGTTTCGGAAGCTGTAGGTAAATGTGTTTTGAGAGAAGGAAGAAACAACTAGTCAAATGGGAAAGGGAGTTTTCCAGAAGGATGTTTGTAGTAGCAGCTGATACAGACGAAGGAATTTTTCCGTGACAAACCCTAGTCTGAGTCTTTGATTCATAAATCTGACCACTTAGACGGGGAAGGGTAAATCTAACGCGATGATATGACCAAAGCAGCCATTTAGCAGCTTTCGAATGTCGGTTTGATGTTTCGTTCGTTGGCGCGTGGTTTATGGGTTCGTAGTTTGTTCTTCAAGCACTCAATGAGACAAGCTTAACGTGGCTGAGGGCTGCCTAGCTTTGGCGGACGTTTTCTGTTCAATAAATTGTGAAGATGTCTGTCAGCGTTAGTAATCAACCCGAGGCATCTTGTTCCTACATTTATTTATTTAGACCGATAAATCGTCTCTCTGTGTTCGTTCACAGAAATGACCTCTCCAGGAGCGAACGCGGATGGTAGCGAAAATAACAGATGGTGTCCCATCCTCTGTAGGACTTATATCCATACATTTTTCAGTCATGATTGCATCTAAGACTGCGAAAGCCATCCTGTTTAGCTCAATGCGTTATGGGGGTATCCAAGCTCTCACCTCGTGATGCAAAGTAGGCAAGAGAATATTGACAATTTTAGCTCTATTTCTTCCGTCCGATGACTGCCGAACGAAGTTTTCGCATACACTCAGAATACTCGTCTGGCGTTTGCCAACTTGAGCCGTTGTTGGCATCACCTCCCTGTCCGACTGTTTACTAGGGATCGAGTGCATGTCACAGCAATCCGGTTGGTCTTGCAGTGATGTAGAGATATATGCTCCTTGCGTGTAGGAAACGAGTATAACGCAATGTCCCTGTTTGTAATTTACCGGTCTTTGTCGAAAAAGGTGATGGTTGTGAGATCGAGATTGGTACATGTTCCGGTGTGAGTCCATAAGAACATTTACTCGTGTACGCATTCACATTAGCACTGCCAGGTTTTCTGCTCGTAGATGTTGAGATCCGCCCAGTATAGTAAAATTGGTTGTTGTAAACGGTGCTATTCGTGCATCTATTTGCTTCCTNATGTTCTCTACTTGATATTCGCTTTTCGTTTAACTTCGCCCCATTCATTGGTCAGCTAGATGGATGGTCCAAAATTGTAAACAGGAGCAGGGCATGAGAATGAAACTTCTGGGAGAGAGAGACCAGTGATTATAAAAACTAAAAAAAGAATATATAAACGATCTAAGCTTGTTGAGAGATTCTGTCCGCGTTGACACCCACAGAAATCCGGCATCCAATTTGTCGATAGGCACCTCTGCTTTCGTCCATTTCAGTACCACACGTTCTAATACGGCATTATGGATTCATTAACTCCATCACCAGAAACAGAGGCTGTTGCTTGTTCTTTACAATTCAATACTTATGATTTTGACTTTCGTTTCGTGCGAGCCATGAGGTGATAATTTGTAGCGTACCCAAATCACCTTTGGGCCCTTACATGCTGTACATGTAAGGGACATTGTTCAGCATGTGCTTTGCTAGCCATCTAGGTGTGTAGGCTATTAAACCTGCCGGTTTGTTTGTAGACATTCTAGAGTCACACTGGAAGTTGGTTGTCTTTAAATCTTCTAGCGACTGGAACGTGCGAAGCTGCTGAAGGCTGCTGAAAAGGATTTGGCGGAAAAACGTATGAATCTGGAAGTTCCCACTTCGGCCGTCGATCAAGAACTGGAAAAGGTTACAAGAGAAGACGTTTTGTGAGTTCGTCAACTTTTTGTTCACATTCTACCACGTCTGTTAGTGGTCATCATTTGTATCCCTTCAATCCTCAGATGATATCTCATTAACCTTCACACGTGATCGAAAACTGGCTTCCTAATTCAAAGTAATAAATAAATAACGTTGTAAAGTTCTGTTTATTGATAATATCTGTTTCAAATGGGTTACAACAACTTAAAAGCCCTTTATCTTAGTTGGTAATTGTTTTGTGATAACGATTTGGGGGAGAAAGACATACACGGGACTGTTTTTATTGCACATACTTGTGTGATGAACGGCAAACGGAGTGTACCCCATAGTCACGAAAATCTGTTGTTCGGTGATGGAAACCACTAACCTAAGCCCTCGAACTTGGAGTGGTGATCCACAGAAGACCCGGCTAGGTTAGACGTAGTATTAAACCGGGCGACAGCAACGCTTCCTGCCACCTCTTGGCCGTTCAAGAGGATATCTGATCCTCGAACTTTCTAAACTTCACATTCATGCCTGTTATCAACAACTTTTTTTTCAGTTGGCCCTGCTATTATCAAGCGCTTATCATCGGTCGCACTGAGCTCACCGGCCATAGATTTCTACCGGAAGACCTCCTACCACCCACTGCAGGGGAAACTGCAGAATGGCGGCGTGGTCTGGACGGTGGTCGCCACACTCACCGTCAACACCGGTACCGACGAGCGACTTCACAATCATCGTCTTCATCAGCATCCAGTTCTTCAAGATTTTCTTCACCTGCTTCTTCTGATGGTTCGTCGGGATGTTCTTCTCTGGCATCCGTCGCCGCTTCTTGGAAAGCGACTTGTGCTAAGGCGATGAAGGACTACTTGGATTCACCGCTCGGCGCGAAAGGCCGCCGAGGTCGTTACAATCATGCTCGCTGGCGTCGTGGTCAGAGGGGTCACTCAAGCCGTTCTTCAGCATCATCTAGTCGTTCTTCTGATTCTCGCTCTCCATCTGATATGCCTCGTAGTCGTGCCGTTTTAACCGGTCATGGTCATATTGCCGGCAAGCTAGCCACCCAAGGGGTACGCCGAATGTGGCCTGAAGATAATCATCGATCAAGAAGAGGCCAGTCAAGATCTAATCGATCGTCTTCTGGGTCCGGATCCCGGTCTCATTCATCGCGGGATTCCTCCGATCCCAGTCGGCGTAGATCATGGAACTACCGTAAGTGCAATTTTGCAACTGCAATGCATATACAAATTTCAAATTCAAATTTTTATTATGGAATATAACTTACAAAGACTTCGCTTTTACAAATCCC